GAGGGGGCTGGAAGGAGTAGGAGCCACAGAAGATTACGGGCCTAGGGACACCCCTTTCCTTCTTTGTGGAAGGATGGGCTGAGGCAGGGGTCAGCTCTGGGAGTCCACGTGGCTCTCAGTGTCCTCCTCACAACTCAGTCTCCTTGGGAACTTCCTCTCAGAGTCACTGGGGTGAGGACGAAGCAGGAGAGGGGCCCACCCCGGCTGTGCTGAGGCAGGCGGCCTGGAGGGCTGCCTGGGCGTGCCACCTTGGATGGGGTCCAGCGGGGGTCTCTGGGACAGGTGGTTCCTGGAATGTCCATGCCCACAGGCAGCCAGTTCACGGTGGCCAACTGGGACCAGCTGCTCAGTCTGTCCCCCTGCCAGGCAAAGCCTGCTGAGTCCCCTCCAGTCCCTGGGTCCACAAAGGCCTGTTTTGGGGGACTGAGCCTTCAGTCATGGTGAAATGGGAGAACTGAGCCCCAGGTGAAGGCAAGCAATAACATTCCCTTCAGTGGGGGAAGAGGAGCCATGCTTTCCACGCCCACCTGCCGTAAGAGTTCAGGTCCTGGCAGCCCCTCCACCCGCCACAGAAGCTGTCGCTCCAGGGAGGCCAGTAGAGAGGGCAAAGTGGAAACTCTCCCCAAAAGATAAGGGAAGTGGGGTGAGATGGACTCTTACAAACCACCGTGGAATGGAGCCACTCACTTTATGACCACACAGTGTCCCGAAAGCAGTAAAATTTATATGACCACTTCCACTTGCCAGCACCTCCCATAGAGCTGACACTTGGCTAAATCCTTAACTTCTCTTCTCAAAGACCGGAGACACCAAGGCGGTCAAGAGCTCAAACATCACCCGAACCGGTTGCTACAGGCATTGTGTGGCCCTGGGCAAGTTTCTCAACCTCTCTAAGCCGGAGTTTCTTCATCTTATGCCTCTGACCCCAAACCCCACAGTATATGCCCGGGGCCACCTTGACTGGCTGGTCCTGGCAGGGAGGAGCCAAGGGGACCAAGGAGGTGTAACATTTTTCAGGCCAGGTAACGCAATCCCAGACAAAAGTCCCCTGGCCAGGAATAGGCCCTGGAGGGCTCAGGATCCCTGGCTGGCCTGAAGCCCCCAGCCCCTTGAACACGGGAGGAAAGGAGGGGCCTGAGTTGGAAGCAGAAGTGGGTCCCATAACAGGTCCGAAGACTGCTGGTCAGATGCTCCCTCCGCTTCGGCCCTTGGGAGAGCTGCGATTCTCCGAGGCGGGCCAAGAGACACCGGTCTTCCCCTCTTGGCTCTGCCACCAGAATATCCAGAATAAGGAAATCCACAGAGACAAAGGCAGATCAGGGGGTGCCCGAGCTGGAGAAAGGCAGGAATGGGGAGCAGCTGCTTCACGGGTGTGGGGTGTCCTTTTGGGGCGCAAGGGTGGGAACTAGGTGGAAGTGGCAGTCACACACATTGTCAAGGAACTAACTGCCACAGAATTGTTCACTTTGGAAGGGTGAATTCCAAGGGGGGTGAAATTCATCTCCATTAGAAATAAGGGTCCCTGTGGCTAAGAGAGTAAAGGCATAAGAAGAGCGGGCAGGTGCCAAGCGAGGTGGGGGGGCAGGGGAAGGAGACGCTGAGGCAGGAGGCCCGGAGGGCTGGCCGTCTTCATCTGCCCTCCAAGCTGTTCGCTTCCTCTCGGACTTGACAGACTGGAAGCTCCTGTGGGCGGGGGCAGGGACCTCATCTTTGTAGCTATTTAGCTGTTTTTAATTTTCAGAGCAGAGCATATGCATCTTCCAAACCTCGGGCACCAATGGAATGAAATAGAACGTGTTAAGCAGTAGGAAGATTACCCACCGCCTACACTAGGGGAGTGAGGACGTCACTGGGCTGACTTCCCGTGTGCCATCCCTGGGCAGCAAGGGGGCTGCCAGAGAATCCCAGGGCAGAGTGGGCCTGCCCATCACCCCTCGCAGGCCCCAGCACCCCTAGAGGGCAGCACTCACAGGGGTCTGGGAGGGGGAAGGGATTGGAGGAGCACCATGGCTCCTTTGTCAGACCCAGGAAGGAGAGTGGGGCAGCTACAGGAAGTAGTGGGGTGAGGAGTTCCCTCCGGAATCTATCCCCCCACTTCCCTCCCCTCTGCTTGCACAGCTCCTGCACATGCTCAGTGTGCCCATGAATTGGGTTGGCTGGGGGAGGGCATTGACTGGCACCCCCACTTAAAGGGACAGTGTTATCCTTGCCTGCGCCCAAAAGGCAATGGGACCTGGCCACCCTCTTTCATTGTATTGAATTATTTCACCTCAAACCCCTTTCCCCACTTCTTCCTGTCCTCTCAGCTCCTCTGTCCATCCTACTACCTCTCCTCATTCCCTGGCCCCTGACAGCACGGTCTGTCCACTGAACACAGGAGTTTCCACCTGAGGTGGGGGAGTCTTGGATGGGAAAGAAAGGAGGACCCCAGGCCAGAGTACACAGGGGTGGTAGGAAGCTGCTGCAATCACGCTGTGAAATACCTGCCTCTCTGGGCCTCCCTGCACTGGCCCAGGTGACTGAGAAGGTCCTGGAAAGCCCATGAACACCAGAGAAGTAAGGCACCAGGCATTTGCTCTGGAAAGGCCTGGGGAAGGAGGAGAGTATGTCCAAGCCCATCTTCCCCGCTGAAGGGGGAATGTGCGTTGGAGGTGGGGGGCTACAAGTTGGAGCTTACATCACTGTGGTGGGTGGGGGGCTGCACAGTCCTCAGGACCAGGCAGTGGAGGGGGAAAGGGTGGGGGCAGGGGTGGGGGGCGCAAAATGAACCTTGGCCACTGGGGTAGCTGAGCTGCCTCTCCCCAGGACTGAGCCCAAAGACTCCCCAGCTCCACAGGGTGGGGACTGGGGCACTGAGGTCACAGAACCAGACATGGGAAGAGGTGACATTGACTCTTCATTAATCTCTCTCAGCCCCCGACAGTTCCCAGCTCACACCCTTCTCCTTTGTTTTCTTCTTACCCTATCCTGCCCACACCAGCCTTGGGGATATTAACCTACCTGCATACAGTCCTGGCCTAGAGCCCTTCAGCCACTGTGTGTGTGTGTGTGTGTGTGTGTGTGTGTGCACACGCGCGCACGTTGTGGGTCGGGAGTGTGGGCTGGCAACTTTTTGGTCTCCAGGCTCCTCAGCTTCTAGGCCAAGAAGGGCTGAACTTCTCACCTGTCCCCTCCCCCGTGCAAAGCTCTCGCCTACTCAGGGATGCGCTGGCCTAAGCCACCTCCTGACACCCCCCCACACCCATCCCCCTACTCCAGCAGCCCTCTGGAATCTTCCCTTCCCTTCTAGTTACTAACACACACAACACACACGCTCACACCCCTCCAGGTAAACAGCCTTCTTCCTGGCCCATGGCCTCCCCCTCCCCCTCCCTCAGGCTCCAGCTGAGGAATGCAGCAGCAGGGAGGCTGCCCAGCCTGCTGGGGGGGCCTGTGGATCCCTGGCTGGCACCCCAGGAGAAGGCAGGCCTCTGCTCAGCATTCCTGGAGCCCCAAAAGCCACTCCCTCTCTGACCCTTGGGCTCCCCACCTGCAACGTGGGGACAATAATTTCTCTGGTCCTTCCTGATGGAGCTGATAACTCGAAGGGGGGCTAAAACCCTCTGCCAGGGTTCCAGGGGCAGACCCCACAGGAAAGGGCGATTTTGTTCTCTTGAAACTCATCCCTTCCTAGAATCTGTTTTCGCCTGGCTTCATTGCAGGAGGTGCTGGCGAGGCCTGGGTGTGGCAGGGCAGACGTGAAAGCTGTCCTGGCAACACACAGGCTTCATCAACATTTCCGTCTAGCAGGTCCCAGGCCTGAGCCCTTCCTCCTCTTGCTCAGTGCAGCCTGTCAAGATGAGCTTTCCTGGAACGGGAGCTAAGCCAGACCTCCACCCCTGCCTGTGCACGGTGGCAGAGTCAGCGCAGGCTCGCTGGTGATTTGACTGACTTCCTCCTCCAGCACCGCAGCCTGACGTTCTGTGGGCCAACCAGGGAGGGTGAAGGAAGAGGGACTGGCGTCTGCAGGAGGGTGGGTCCAAGGGTGAGCTGTGTTTCGGAGCCCAGTACTGCTGGCATGTTGGTGGCACCTGAATCATCCAGGCTGACTCAGCTCTCTTACGCACAGACAGATGAAGGGCTCACCTCACGGGGAATGAAGCACACAGGTGCCTGGGCTGGAGCGGGAGGCACAGACGCACAGAGTGCACCAGGACAGCCAGCCCACCAGCTCTGCTAAGGACTGATTCACTGCCCCCCTCTGCCTCTTGGGCGGATTCCCCATCAGGAGAAAATGTCCCTTGAGTGCTTGTCAGTGCCCTTCTAGGAGGCAAGGGGTCAAATGAATGACTAACCTCCTACCCAACCCCTGTCTAGGAGATGTGTGGGATTGGGGGCGTTCAAGGATAAGGAGACACAAGGCACCCAGACCTCCCCTAGCCCAGCCCCTAAACTATGGGAAGACGGGAGAATACAGAGAGCCTGGGAAAACCCCCTGGGCCTTCCCCCAAAGTCTCAGCTCCTCCCAGCGATCTGGCATCTTAAGTCAAGTTCCACCTGAACGCAGGGGTTCCTAACTGAGCCCCCTGGCCTCTGCATCCCCCCCTCTACAAAACCTTAAGAGCAGTCTGACTGTCCCTGACACACAGCAGATTCAGGCATCCTGGAGACCTCTTTTTAAAAAATCTTCACCCAAGGACATTTTTTTCATTGCTCTAAGAGAGAAACATGGATGCAAACATCAGTGTGAAAGAGAAGCGTCAACTGGTTGCCTCCTGTATGAGCCTGGACTGGGGGTCGAACCCGCAACCCTTCGGTTACAGAGCAGTGCTCCAACCAACTGAGCCCCACTGGCCAAGGCCGTCCTGGAGATCCTGATAGGTCCCCAGTGCAGACGTCTGCTGTCCTCCCAGGCTTGGGGCAGGGGGGCACTGGGGCCCCAAGTCCCAGGCCTATCTGGAATGAATGTGCTTTGAATTTCAGAGCCCTAGTGAAATCGATCCCAGCCATTTACATTTGATTTCACCAAAACCATTTATTTTCTTTGTGAAAAATAAGATGACATCAAAGAACAAATTGTGGAAACGACAAGGTGGAAGTCAAGCTGTCCTCGGGGAGCACAGGGTGCTGAGCGTGGTTTTCACTGGCCGCCCGCCCACTTGAGGCCCAGCCGGCCTGAGCGTGTGTGAAATGAACTGTCTGCTTGGGCCAACCTGGCTGGGGGGCACTCCTAGGTGCCTGGCTCCCCACCGCCAAGGCTGCCCTCTCGGTTCCACATCTCGTTCTCCCGCCGAAGCCGCTGGTTCTCCGTCCGGAGCCTCTCGACCTCGGCAGCCAGCTCCTCAACCAGGTGACAGGACTGTCGGCTGGTGCACCGCTGCTGCAGCCTCCTGCTCTCCTCCTCGGCCTGGGACAGCCTCCGCTCCAGGTCCAGGTAGTCTTGCACCAACTCCTGCTTGCTGCGGCCCTGCAGGCTCTCTGTGTGGTAGCGCTCATAGGCCTCTGAGAAATCCCTCTGCTGGAACTCCCCGTGAACTTGGCCTCGCCCATCGCTGTCCCCTGCTTCACTCTCCCCACTGGAGCCCGGGTGGGAGGCCCCCTGGGGCACATCCAGGTCAGGCTCCTCAGGGTCTCGGTCATCCATCAGGAACTGGGTGGTGTTGTAGGGCGCCACAGGCTGGCCCTTGGCAAACATCTCCTCTCGGACCCGGGAGGCCCTCTGGCTCTGCCTCTCATCCCGCTGCTGCTTCTCGGCCCAGCTCAGCTCCAGGTAGGGCCGCCAGTGCCGCTTGCGCTTGGAAGGCCGCCGGCGGTGCTTCTTTCGGCTCAGCACTGCCTCCATCGAGTAGCCCCTTGGGCTATGGGCCCGGGGACCCCTGCCATTCCGGCCCAGGCCACCATGATCTTCCTCCTCGGAGTGACTCTCCATCTGGGGTGTCAGGGGCAGGGAGCTGCCGGGGTCGTGAGGCTCAGGGGGTGTTTCTGGGCTCTCAGAAGAGCCAGTGGTCTGAAGACAGAACGTGAGGGAGGATGGGTCATGGGCAGCTGTTTCCTGGTGGTGGACACCTTCCATGCCCCTCCGCGTCACCATCCCCACCTAAAACCGACCTTCTCCCACCCTGCCACCTTGTCCCTCTCTAGCTCTCGCCCTTCTGCGACCACTTATTTGTTTGTCACTTACCTTTCCACAGTCTGTCCCCCAACAGGCCCCAAGCAAACTCACAAGGAGAGCAGAAATTTCACACGTGCATTTCATTTTGTAATTTCAATGCTCCTCCCCCTCAGAAAGGCCCCATGTTTTGTTTAACACTCTGCTACCATTGTCTTGAAAATTTTTTTCGGAAACATTTTACTTATTTATTTTCAGAGACAGGGGAAGGGAAAAAGAGGGAGAGAAACATTGATTAGTTGCCTCTTGCATACCCACGACTGGGGATCTGGCCCAGGCATGTGATCTGACTGGGAATCGAACCAGTAACCTGTGGTTCACAGGCTAGCACTCTTGACATTCAATCTGCTAAGCCACACCAGCCAGGGCTTGAACTTCTTAATAATTTTAGAATAAAGTGCGCTTTGCACTGAGCTCCACAAATTATGTAGCTGATCCTGCTTCCAGATATTTGGATAGCTGACTCTTTCATCCTTCATCCTTTGTTCCCATGTCACCTCTGCAGAATGGCCCTCCCTGACCCCCTGTCTTAAGTAGCCCCCAGTCTCCCCTTCCCACTAACTCCCTATCACGTGAAAATCAGCATCCCACTCCCATCTGACTTCCTCCTATAAGAACGTGTCTGTTTGGTTCACCACTGCGTCCCTGTGCCTGATCCAAGGTAAGTGCTTAATAAACAAACGTTCAATGATATAAAGCCCATAAGAGAGGGGAGTCCAAAAGATATTGGAACCCAAGACTCTCCTGTCATTCAAGGGTGAAGAAAATGGAGTGTGGTTATTCCAGGCAGAAGTCGCTACCATCCGTCTACATGACGGGCAGGAAAGAGGACCTAACTAGGGAGAAGAAAAGTCAATCTCCAGTCTGCAGCTGATAGAATTCTAGAACTTATCGCAGAGGTGCAAAGGATTCCGTCAAGAGAGTGTGCGTTCGGGGCATCTGGTTATCTCTGTCATGGTGAGGGTGGGAGTGCTAAGTGGGGAATGAATTGCTCTAAGTTTGTGGTTTGGGGAATTCTAATAATAACTACTACCACTGGTATGTTGTCTCATGATGTCCAGCCTGGTTCAGAGACATTTGAGCGCGAGTCCATACAAGTCTAGGGTACGTACTGGGGGTGCACGTAGCTCTGTAAGAGTTGGAGGTGTGTTACGTGGGTTTTGGAGGCCATGAAGGGAACTGTAGGGAAAAGGAGGTGTGTTGGAGTGCCTGTGCTGTTACTTCACCTGCAGGGAGATCATCAGTTAAGAGCGGCTGGCCTCGTCTCTGCCGGCATCTGTAGCCACATGGGATGGAGATCTGCCCGACACGGGAAGAGGTGGGCCTCTGCCCGCGGGAACTCTGAGGCAGGGTGGCTTGTTTTTGTGTGCACTGCAATTCACCTGCTCCCAGCCATCAGCAAACGCCCCTAATGATCTTTGCCTCACCCAAGCCAGCCCGGCCCTCAGCCCCGTGTGCTGTCTCCCTCCTAAAGGCTTTTCCCTCCATGACCGTGACCAGTAACTGTGGGTAAGCTGTGTGATCTGGGTGAGTCATTTGCCCTCCCTGAATCTTCTAGCCCTGGCATGCCATCAAGTCCAAATTAAATAAATCCAGGAAGCACTGGAAGTGGCTAGGCAGGGTGAATCGGAGGAGCTGAGCTCTCTCATCACCTACAGGGAGTTGTGGACCAGGGGAGAAGAATGGGCAAGGTGGCAGCAGTTAGCGTGAGCACGGGCCGGGAGGGTCTGGGCTCCTGTTGCCAGATCAGAAGGTGACATTCTGAGGGCCTGATACGACCTGTGTCTCCGTCTGTCCTGGGTGATACCCTATACCCCACCCCAACCCAAATTCTGAACCAATTGTTCAGACTCTTTTCCCTGCTTCAGACCTGGTTCTCAGCTTGGACAAAATGCCAGGCAGGCCTCTGTTGTCAGAAGGCCGTAGGTTTAACCCCTGGATCTGCTGCTTGCTGGCTGCATATTTCTAGAAAAGGTATCTCAGCTCTCAGAACCATACCATCTGTGAACTGGACATAAGAAGTCCTACCCTGAAGGGCTACTAGGGTGTCATGAGACGGCACAGACTTAGCACCTGGAATACTGCCCAGCGCATAGTAGGGACTCGTTTAAAAATACTGGTTTTCCAAATGTGCCAACACGTCTGAGACAAGAGGACGGCAGGCTCCACGTTCGGGGCACTCGGGGTTGGAAGGGTGAGGCTTACCTTGGCCTCCTCCAGGGTGCTGCTGACTCTGTATGACAGTCGGTCTGCTTCAGAGTGGCCACCTTCTTCTGTCCCAAATCTCTCAGCAGATGCCTTTACCTAGTGACACCTGCTTCAAATAACAACAGAAACCTAAGCGCTCAAGGAGAAATGTCAGGAAGACTGGCTGCCCGGGAATTTTTCACCAAGGCAGCGGCAGCCATTTTGTAGCACCGGACAAACCTGCACACCCTCCCTTTCAAAGGCAGCCCGGGAGGCTGCCCTGCTTTTCACACCTCCGGCCAGCCAGGGGCCAAATGGGGATTAAGAAGCCATCTTCCCAGTCCTGCTTCTCAGGCCCCAGGGCCAGGCTCACACCCTGTACTGTTCTCCTGGAAGTCACCGAGGCCCAGGCTGGCTACGGTGAAGGTGGGACTGAGCTTTGTTCCCCCAGCAACCAACGTGGGAGAGGAGACGGCCTCGGAGGCCCCTGTCCGTACAGCAACGACCTGGAGAGACTCAGAGCGGACGGGGTCAGTGGCTCCCACAAGAGGGGGTCCTTTCCAGAGGCCTGTCTTAACTGCAGCCCCCTAACTCCTCCCCAGGCTGGGCTCCAGAAGTCGGTGCCTCAAGAAACACTTCTGGGACCTGGGCTGAGCCTGGGACTGAGGCCTTTTCATCCACACACAGGGCCTGGCCTGCCGCCCTCCTGCCTCTCAGGACGGGAGACGGAGGGAAAGGGGAAGAGGTCTTCACATGACGTGCAGCTGGGAGGGAAACCCAACTGGGTTAAGGATGGATTCCTTGGAAGAGAGGAAATGGTCCGGGAAAGAGGTTTTGCAAAGGCGGAACTGACCTATTTGCTGACAAGGGCTATGCACACGACTACATCCGTGTGCCTTTCTGTGCAATCGCCTGTCTGTGCAATTCCCAACGCCTCAGCCCTACCTCTTGCTGCATGCAGTTGCAGCAGCTGTCTGGTCAAGCAGCTCAGGCGCTAAGGTTGGGGGAAGGGAACGGCCTGACAGCGCGGGGCCTGCTGGGGATTGTAGTTCTTCTGGTCTTGGAAGGCTAACCCAAAGCCTGTCACATCAACAGCTCTGCCGAGTACTTCAAAACCCATCTGCCCTTACGCGGGAGTTGTCCCGCGGTCACTGCTGCCTGTTTTGATTGGTCAACTCGTCTGCCAATAAGGCAGCTTTTGTTAACGTTTGCCGTGCGGAAGCACAACCAGTATCCGCCTTCCAAGCTCAATTAAAGAGTTCATTGATGGCGTTAATCTTTACTAGGCAGAAAATAGATCCGGCTGAGAGGGGAGGGGCTGAGGGAGCGGAGGGATCCTCAGCTCTAGAGGAAGGCGACGAGAAGGCTCTGTGGCCGCCGCCGCCATTTTGGGCTGGGAGGAGGCAGCGGAGGGACTCGCTGCACAGTGAGAGCACCCCGTGGGGGGTGGTCCGGGCGTGGGGAGAGGCCGGGCCGAGTGGGCTGCCTGAAGTGGCGACGCCGGGAGACGGCGGGAAGTGGGACCGGGGGCCCGATGGGGGGGTGAAGGTTGGAGTCTCCCCGGCAGGGCCTGGTCCTCAAACCGTCCCGGCAGCCCCGCAGCCTCGCCTCTCACAGAGGGCGCGGTTCTTGGGTAATTACCGCGTATTTCCCGAGATCCCAGTTGGGGAGAGACCGAATAAAACGGTTTTCTTCGGTTCTCTTCCCACTGGGGCGCAGATCATGCGGCCGAGCTCTGCGAAGTTCTTTTTCCGGCCCCATTCGGCCTGGTATGGCGGCGAGGCCCAGCGTAGTGGGAACCCCTCCCCAACTTCGACGGGCGAGGTGGGGAAGAGGCCAGATTCCAAAGATGGGACGCGGGGGAGGGTGGAGGTCGCAGCACTGGCCGCGCGTCTCTCTCGCCTGGCAGTCAGGTGGAGGCTCCGAGAGATCCCGGTGCACCCACGACCATCCCCCACCTCCTCCATACACCAAGGCTGTCCCGCGGCCCAGGCTGCGAAACAGCCTTCTTCCTACTGTGACAACTTCTAATTTCCCCTGGGACCAGCCAGCAGGGTAGGGGCACGTGGAAACCTTCACGAGCCCAATGCTTGGAAATCTCTGAACACTCTGGTCCTCATGGTTCATCCTATCAGTGCCCATTCTCAGAACGACTTGACCTCGCACGTCGCCGGCCACTTTGGGAAACTCCAAAAGTGTGCTGTTCCACTTGTCTTGAAAGTTGACACCAAAGGGGTATGGGTGTTTGCCCTTTACAGGGTCGGGACACAAAATACCTTAGAGTTGCCATGGCTCTGGGAATGAAAGGGGAGTGGCCCATTTCGGATGCTTCAGGAACATCTGTTTGCATTTTGAAATCTGAGCCATAACTTCTCCCAAAACTTTTGGAGGAATGTCTGCCCTCCTAGAGGGGGGAAAAAAAAAACGAACGAATTCCACTGTAATCTTTATAAGACTACAAATTCTTTCCAGTTTAAAGAACTTTTCTCCCACAAACTAAACTAAATGGGATATTTTGCCACTAATGCATTGTTACTAGGAAACCTCTATTTTGACATTCCAAGTAATTAAAAAAAAAAACTTCTGTAGATCCTAGACGCCGCCAAAATAGAAATTGCAGTTTGGAGGTAGGGGAGACCTGCTCTGAAAAAAATAGTCAATCTTTAAGTAGCTTCTTAAAGATCAAAGTTTGATGTGAAAGTCTTTTGAATTACAGATTAAACTATCTTGTTTCCTAGTGCTGGAAATTTTAATTCAGGAAGATTTATACCTCAGGGGTAGCTTAATCTGCAAAAATGTCATTTAAAATGTAAATAGGTAGCTTCTGAAGTTAGGGGAGTGACTGAGCAGTGAACTTTGGCTTTGAGGGTACCTTGTTGATTCTTGTAAGTATTCTGACTGGGGGGTGGAACCCACAACCTTGGCTCCCTCCAGCTGAGCTCCCCTGCCAGGCAGAAGGTACCCAAGGATGAGTCTCATTGCCAATTACAGATGGTTGGGTTATTTCTGAGCCTTTGGCCTCAAAGCAGGAACCTCAGAAGGTTCTTCAGAACTAAATCCTTGCTGCTCCTATTAATAAAGTAAGTTTTTAAAAAGTTGTGAGAGTGACAGTTCCATAGCTTTAACTATTTCCCCACCCACTGAGTATTTTCAGAGGAAGTCTTAGAACTGGATTGTAGAGATACGATCACCATTGGCTCTGGTTCTTAATCCAAAATTTGAACCCCTTAGTCCAAAATGAAACCAGTACACTCGATTCATACTGTAGGTTGACTTGGCCTAATGTCACATTCATTTTACACTTCTTCAGACAGAAGATTTAAGTTAGGAAAAGTTGACACTAACTTGGTAGAAGTTAAGTGAAATAGTCATTGGAGCTGAAAGGGGAGTCTGAAGATTGTCAAGAATTTAATGAGCGAGGATCCTAGACTCATGATTCACCCTCCATTAAACCTTTGGATGTTACTAAGTGGAGCATACCAGGGACAGAAATTTGTTAACTCATAAAAATGAAAGCTTACCCTGTTTAAGGTTGTCCAATAAGCTCTCCACTCCTTGATAAGAAAAGTTGGGAATAAAGCAAGTTTGTTTATGGAATAAAACCTAGGATTGGAGGTTAGGAACTCCAAGTTCTGTTCCTGTGTGTGCCACCACTGACTTGCTCGGCTTGGCTAGAGGCCAAAACCTGAAGATTAGGCCAAAGGGGAGTCTAATCATCTAATGTTCAACCAGATCTTTGACTCCCTCCTCCTTTTTCAGATGAGTTGCTTTATAGTTTATAAGAAATTCTACCAGACTGTATTATATATGCCTAAGCTTCCTTTTTTTACATTTATTTTTATTGGGTTTATTGGGTCTGCCTCAGTTTCCTAATTTGAAAATGGAATCAGTGCTGCCTCCCTCATAAATACCTTGAGGAGTAACTAATCTTCAGTAGCTATTTAAACATTTACCCCTATAACTTTGTTACTTGGGAACGTTAGAACTTTTAGTTAGAACTTTTACTTCAAAGGTTATTTGGAGTAGTCGGGAGGCCTGCCTTACCGAAGTGTGCCACTGGCAGTACAGAGTGTGCCCATTCAGACAGGCTGAAGGAGGGTCAGGCTGTCAGAGTACCAAGTAGTGGTTACCATGAAGTTCCTGATGCTCCATGTCTGCCTGACAGCCCACTCTTGGGTACTAGTGGCTGTGAGCAGGATTCATTGATTCTTTGTAGCAGTCCTCGTCAGGATGAAGGTGCTTGCTTCTGAACTCTTTGATTTCCACAATTTTTTATTCTTTGTATTTAGCTTTTACCATTCTTCTCTTTTGTCTAAGTTGTTTAAATGTTTACTGTTTTATTAAGTACATCTTTCGTAAAAACTAGAGAGGAGGGTACAACTAACTTCTCAGACATTCTTTTCCATCCTCCAGTTTGGTCTTCTGCCTTTGCCTGAAAGTTGTACTAGAGTTATCCATATAATTGTACTAGAGTCAATCCATATGCAGAATTGAATGTTTGGAGCAGGTTTCAGAAAGTTCAAATTAACCTCCTCCGCTGACTGGAGGTTAGGACAAGTTCAGCTGAGTAGCTTACAAGAGCAGCTATCATTTTCTTAAAATCTCTTGCACGGAGTACTGTAAAGCTCCCACATTTTCCTTTAGGAAGATGCTTTTTGCTCACCGCAGACCCAGGGCTTTTTAACACTTCACATGAAGTCAGTGAATATGTCAAGTAGAATTTGACTTCCAACAAGTGTTTACAATTCCCTTCTGAATGTTTGCTCTTGAAAACAAGAATGTGTAAGCCAATGTTAACTCCTCTTGGTGCTGTATTGAATGATCACATTAGTTCAAAAGACTAAGAGTTTTCTGTAGCATCACAACCGTTTGAAAGAATTTTAATAATTGAACTGTCTCTTAAAAAAAAGAAGTTTAGTCCAGAGGATTTGTGAGAGCTACAGCATTGATCTGTCTAAACCCAGGCTTTGTTTTTTTCAACAAGAGAGAGAATGAGGTGGTCAGCTTTCCAAATTCAACAACAGCTGGCAAAGATTGATTCTTTTCCCGCTAGACCACAGATTTTTGTCCCACTTGCAAAGTATGACTTATACAGTTTGGTCAGCAGACCCCACT